ATTTCACCTGCCGTTCGGTTCGAAAGTTAAGTTTTCATACCGGGTTCATTTGTTAAATTAAATAGGAAAAAAAAACACTTCGAACGGAAAACAGAATTATTTTAACGTCTGGATCTTTTGAAAAAAGGTCTCCTGAACGAGTGGACCTGATTATAAATATTTAAGCAAGGTAAACACATTAGCCTTAACTTGACTGTTTCTCGAAGCTCAGAGATTTCCTACATGCCTATTAGAGTCAATATTTACATGGGGGACAGAGACACCAACACAACATTTCACCTGCCGTTCGGTTCGAAAGTTAAGTTTTCATACCGGGTTCATTTGTTAAATTAAATAGGGAAAAAAAACACTTCGAACAGAAAACAGAATTATTTTAACGTCTGGATCTTTTGAAAAAAGGTCTCCTGAACGAGTGGACCTGATTATAAATATTTAAGCAAGGTAAACACATTAGCCTTAACTTGACTGTTTCTCGAAGCTCAGAGATTTCCTACATGCCTATTAGAGTCAATATTTACATGGGGGGCAGAGACACCAACACAACATTTCACCTGCCGTTCGGTTCGAAAAGTAAGTTTTCATACCGGGTTCATTTGTTAAATTAAATAGGAAAAAAAACACTTCGAACGGAAAACAGAATTATTTTAACGTCTGGATCTTTTGAAAAAAGGTCTCCTGAACGAGTGGCCCTGATTATAAATATTTAAGCAAGGTAAACACATTAGCCTTATGAAGGCTATGAAGTATTAAATTTGTTTCCCCGCTGACCACTCGTATTTCTATCTTTTCTTCTTTCCCCGCTCGTCGCCCGTGATGTAGTAACTCCCGTGAAAAATGTATAAAACTTTCGAGATTTTCGTAGGAATGAGTCGTTTATTATTATGGAGATTTGCGAAAATCAGCAGATATGGCTTTTTTACGGCACAAAACATTCATTAGTCTATAATTTGATTGTTTATCATCATCCTTGCTCATTTTAGGAGATTTTAAAGTCACATGCTTCGTGTTGGTTGATATTACTACAAGTTCCACAGTGCTACAACTTCGGCTATTACAGACGAGAAATTCTGCGCTCTCGCCCTAGAGAAAATATCAATAGTTCTATCAGACTGAAAACTGTGCTTCTACCCCGAAAATAAAATTAAAATAGTGTTGTCGTTGTCACTTACTGCCATCGAACATTTACATGCAGAACTCTGCTAAGCTAACATCTGTTGCGTGACCCGAAGACTCTTCGTAGGAATTATTCAAGAGCGTTGTTCATGCTGTCTGTTAGATAACAATTTCAGAATAATCTGCAGATCTCTATGATTATTTGCCTACTTCGATCCTAAAATATCTGTATATTTTTTTCAAGAATTCTATTACTACAAATAAATATACATCTCTCTAGATCAAGCGTTGCCAGCGTTTAATTGCGTGACTTGTAACATTTAATAAGAATGAGCCAGCAGTATTTTGACCGGTAGGCTTCCTGCAAATTTCCCTTGATGAAATCCCAAGACATAGCCAGTTGTTTTCGTGAGCAAAGGCAATAAATATGAAAGAAAAGTGAGATGTAAATGTCTTTTTTTTAGCTTAATAGCAGCTGTATCCCCTCCTGCAGTCTTCGTCTAAATTTTGCAAGGTCCCTCCTCGGTCTTCTGCCTTGTTCCGTCAGTTTTGACTTCTGGCTGGTGTCGTTTCTTAAACTCGATATTTGGGAAGTCACATTAGAGGTGGCTGCCTTACTAGTTTGCTCCCCTGTCCAGCACACGTCTAGGGGACAATTCTTTGTTTTCTGAGAAAAGGTGGCTGTTTTTTGTTTTTTCCAAAGAGCCCATCCAAAGTCCACTTGGCCAGTTAAGGATTGTTCTTCAGAATTTTACCTGAGGTCCGATCTTGAACGTAGCCATCCCCTATTGAATGGCAAGCCGGTCTTCGTCCATTTCCTCTTGATCTTATCATAAGTGGACTTTTTTTTGTCAGCTTCACTTGTTTGTCTTTGTTAGGGTGCATTTGGATGGCAGCCAATGACTGAAACGTCTTGATACATCCTTCCTTTTAACAAGAATATCTCGCTTTCTGTAACAGATTGGGTATAGTTCTCGCGATGACCCGCGTTCAGAAATCTGTGCATGTTGCTGATAACCACGCGTTTCTACGATTAGTTTGCTGAAGGTTTCTAATGTGATGAGCCTAGTGAGACCCTGAGGTGCTCCAAACTGTGCCAGTTGGTCTGCGCTATAAACTTATCGCAGTTCTTAAGTCAGAGGGAGGATCGCCCACCTCTATTTATGTGAGCGCCTCTACAGTACCTGCGTATCCCTGGCAATCATATGATATAAAGTTCATCTCAGTCACAAATCACCAGTTAGGAAAACTGATGTTCAGATAAGCGTTCTTCTTGCCCTTCTTCCTTATTCATTGCCGACTCTAAGATAGCAGTTACAGTGCGCGTTCTATTAGGTTTACAGTCACCTTGCCACCAGAAAGACCCGCCACCAGCTTTGATTTCTTCTGCCATCTGCAGATTCACCTCTCTCTCAACTCCATGTTTCCCATTTCTTATGAGGAGGATACTGGCATTTACGAACCCGAAGCCAAGTTGTGCACGATATTTGAGGTACATCGTGAAATCGCGGCCTTCGTAATCTCCAAATAAGCCAATACGCGTTAGGATAAGCTTCTTCTCGGACGAAACGCATGTTTGGGATACATCGACGTTTTCAAATGTTTTTTTTAAGCTGTATACCCACGAATTTAGAGGTATGAGCTGTTGCCGTCCCTGGCCAGTGTGAGAAAAATAACATTTGGTTCTGCAGTTAGTTGCAAATGAACAAGACAACTGCACCATCCTGACTCTATCAATTCGAGTGTTAGGTTGAATTGAGGGCTTTTTAGACACTCAATTTCTTATATGGCATCACTATGAAGGCGTATTACAACTGATACACCTACCCTACACAGGATTAACAATGTCTGTTGCGCTGTTGCGAGAAGGAGGAAAATATTACCGGATGTGTAAACTCCTTTTAAAACGAGTTCCAGAGACGTTTCAGAGATGTCTATCTTCGGCTGTCACAAACAATTGACCCCCACTTAAATTTACTAGGAAAAATGAACTTACCAACTCCTTGTTGAAAAAATTGGAATTCATTTGACCGATACGTCGGTTGTTTCGATTTTGCTTTTTCCTCGGGCTGCTATAAAACAGTTCATAAATTGACTAATAAATAAACATTTGATTAGAATTTCATAGGGTTCACCTCGATAATTTTCGTCGGCCAGAGTCAAGACGCGCCAAGCTCTGAGCGACATCGCCCTCCAGTAAAAATAATTTTCCAAATAATAAATGTGGCGAGCGTGAGGTAACGCACATTTTTTTTTTATCATTGTGATCAAAGCCCAATGATGTACCTAGATTGGTACTTACGGTATCAAACCATTGATTATGACAGGGTGAGCTTAACTTTTCTGTCGAGGTCGACGTGACTTCACATTAAAAGCGTTTTTGACGGAACAATCTAGTGAGCATCACTGCACGAACTGAGAAAGTAAAAACTTGTATTTATCTCCCACGCGTTTCGTCTGACAATAGTAGACTACATCAATGATTTTCTCAAGTGGGGTAAATAAGCTTGCTCCTATACAAGTTATAAATAAGTTGTCTCTTTACTATTGAAGCCAGTGGATAGAATTCGCCAGGTGCGCCTACGGTGTTAAACATGCGTGACATTTTCCGGACGTTACATGTACGAGTACGTGATTTGAGGGTCACAGATTTAGTGTAAATATTTGACCCCTCAACATCACGCAATGTCTCTAGTTTACAGAGGTCTTAGAACACTTCATTATATGGATTTGCCTTTTGAGGGTAGAAGGCTTTAAGCGAATTTCTCAGGCGTAATCGCCTTTGATTTCTCAATTGATGTTGTCGCAAACACAGTTTTTAGGAGTCACGAAACAAAAAAACTTATCAGGACCTAGTTTCATGTTCTAATGGAAATGAATAGCAAATAAAAACACATTCTCTTGAGAAATAAAGTTATTAATGACGGGGGTTATCTGAAACAAATATTGATAGAAAAGGGTTTCAGTTCTGGTCAGTATTGACTTTTCATGGCCTACTTCCAAATCTGAGGGAACGCGCCGAGGGAATAAAAAAACATAAATGTGTGATAATGCAAGGAAGAGAATAAAAATACAAAAAAAGAAAAAGGAGAAAACATAGGAACCCGTGTTGCAGCGTGCAGATATCTTTTGAGCCAGACCTACACACCTAAGCCCGACACCACTCAGAGAAACTCGAAAGAGTGCTGTATATGAACTGGCTCGCACGAGGCCATGACAAACAGCGAAAATAATATCAAATACAGATGATATTTGCAGTCAAAAAACAGGAAAATAAGATAACAGAAGGATTAAGAACTTTCTAGAAGTGTCTTCTTGAAAAACGCAGTCACGTTACAAATACTATTTCTATAAGTGGAATATCTTGATGGTAGAGTGTGGAAAAAACATTTTCCAATCTTTTCTTCTGGAAACATGGCGTAGTTAATGAATTTATGGGGCTACTGATATTTCCTATCAAATAAGAGGGGCAGAGTTTCCCGTCATCCGCGGTATGGAAAAGCCGAAGTTGTTACACTTGGGAACTTGTACGTCAACAAGCACGCGACATGTGACTTTAAAATCTCCTCTCCTGTTACAATTTACAAATAAAGCTTTCAAAATTACGGTCAAAACACCAGCTACAAAACAAATAATCAATTTAATGTAGTTCACTTCGAATTTTTCGATCTATCCTAGTTTCTCCGACTGCATCCAAACAGGTTTTACTACACAGCTTCCATCTAAAACTCTCAGTGGAACGTGACGTAAAATGCGTCACACGTTATCAGGTAACAGTGCTCATACATATGCACGAACCCCACTTGAGTGGGGTTCGCAGAATTACACACTTTTTCCGTGTTGAAGTCGTCATGATTGAATAATTCATTACCATAATTGGACTCATTTTCAAAACAACTTGTTTCGCTTTCCCTAGGCGCTCCAGAAACTGTTTGTTCCACCAAGGATCATTTCCAACTGAAAATTAAGGTTGCTTTCCTACAGAGGTACATATAAAGAATATATTTTAAAACCTTTTATTTTTAAAGATTTCTCGCTCTACGTGTCAAGGCTATGTGCGTGTCGAGCAACAAAGGGAAATTTATTTATTTTTCCTTCGTGAGACATGTTTTGAAAGATATATTTTTTGTTTAAAAACAATGCTCAAAATTTGGTAAAAAAATCTTAGTACAAATACAGCTTAACTAGTTACGAACTAATGCTGAAAGTATAAGTATTACGTTGACTTATTAAAAAATGCCTTGGACATTGATTCACGATAATTAACACAACAGTTCAAAAGTGTCTTTGCTAGAGCCGAAATTTACAATATAAAACATATGAATCTTTTAATATAAAATTTTACATCTCATTTTATTTCTAAGCAAAGAATCCTTTGTTACAAAGATTACTACTCGTTTGAGTGCAGCTGACACAAGACGGAACAGCAGTTTTCCCCCTGTACTCTCCACGGTGTCATAAAAACGTTCTTAGACTCAGAGGATGGAGAAAAACATTTTGATACGTTTCAGAAAGAAAAAGCAGGAAATTCCTGCCCGAAAACCCAAGGCCTCCGCCCTTGCAAGTGCATTTATTTTGTTGTAATTACCAGATTTTATTCTGTTCCGATTCGTTTTAGGCTATGCGGGGTCTAAGGTAAGACCATACTCATCACTTTGTAAATGACATAGGTGTCACAGCTACATAATATTTCTAACATCGTCAAATTGTTTTTACTTAGCCCTGACATGAGGAGCACAAGGATCTTTTCCACCCTGGGTATTCTCTGTGTTGTTTTGTCACTTGAGTGTGACGCTAACAAGACAGAGCTCATAATTGGATCGCTGGAAATAAGCGAGGATAAAGATAAAGGGGTTCAACTTGGAATCACAACCGCCATCCATGTCGCTAAAAACTCTTCGAGCTTGAAAGATTTCCTCGAAAAGTACGAAATAAGGATCATTTCTTATTACACCAACGTAAGTTGTACAAATGTTCATATTCAGGAATAATTTATCATGCTGCTGCAGGAAATACAAGTTGCAACCACAGCTGTAACATGAAAAACAAGTTGCTACCATCTTCAAAATTCAAGTCTGTGTGGTTGAGAGAGGTTAACTGTCGACTATTCCAGTCCTTCACAATATAACGCGAAACATTTTTGTTGTTCAGCCTTGCTCCTGTTAATATTGTCAATTAGATATAAATAAAAAGATATAAATAAAAATAAGATAAAATTGAATTCTTTTAAAAAGTAAAGGAGGAAAATGGGCGGATAAAGATGCGCAGATATAACCTAGGCAACCAAGTGAGAAGGAAAATGCTGACGAATATGATTAACAATACATTGATCTATCCTACACTCGCTGCAATCATCTTTCTATTTCTTTTACCAAGAAATTAAGTCACCTCCTGATTTAGATTTGTTACTGATCGGCATGAGAGCCCATGAAGTCATTCAAGATGGCGGTTTCTTTTTCAAGTTGTTATATTTCTTTGTGAATAAGCAAAGTCTCACAGCTTCCCTGACAAATACGAGGGATATAAAGGACAAAGTCTTTTGGCACTTTACACAGAAAGTGTTACATTTTCTCCAAGATTTGTCTAAATTTCTTATTTCTTTTCTTCTCAACAGGGAAAGGAAGCTTCTAGTATTAATTCCGCCACTTATGCCTTAAGGTACAGGAAGGGCGGATTCCCTTTGCTTCTGCTCGGACCTCAAACCTCTTCTGAGGCCTCCACGGTTCTTATGATCGTAAGATTTTACCGAAAGTTAATGGTGAGGGGAGATAATGAACGATCGCTATATATATCTCAAACAGATGTATTCCATTGAGCTTGAGCTTTTATGAACTAGCCAGTTGTTTGAAAAATATTTGAATGGCTTTTTACCTCATTGATGACACCTTCTAAATGAGCTTAATTGAAGGTTCTTGATCTGCAAATATGCCATTTTCCCCACCGTTAGTAGGAGTCTTAATTAAACTCTGGATGAAATGAAATGAAAAGTATAAAAGGTCATATGCTTGAGCCCCGAAGAATTCTTAAAAGCGATGATCATGAGCTTTCCTTCTCAAAATAAGGGTGAAGCAAGATAAATTAATTGCGTATCAAATTAACAACGGCTTATATATATGATATGATTTGAAAAGTGAAGGATAAGCGAACAGAATGAAATTGCGTTCTTACTGTACGTTTTACAGAATGCAGGCATCTAGCTTCGGGCGACTCATTAATCCGTTAAGTGATCGTTCAATTAAGCTAAACATCGTATAAACCGGATTCTCTGAACCGATTTGAACCAAGTTACAAAATTAAAGCCGTTAACTGAGCTTGTTATTTAGTCGTAAGGCTTCATCTACGTTATGGAAATATCCTTCTGTTCGGCTCAGAAGTAACAAAATAAGTCACTATGGTCTTCTTCATTTTCCTCGTAATAGGTTACGTATCTAACGACAACTAGCGATGACAGCGAGGGAAGGAATCCATACGGATTCACATTCGCTCCCACACAACTTACCTACATCAAAGCTATTTTAAAGATAATGAATCACTTTAAATGGAAAAGATTCGCGATTGTTTATGATTTCCTGGAGACGCAAGGTCTTTATGTTAAGGTATGTATCCATGTAATTCAGATGCCAATCAAAAAACGTCTCTCCCAGATCTGAAGATAAATGCCTTCATCAGTTTGTAGTTTATCCAGCACAACAAGACGATCTAAGATCGTAAGTCGGGCTACAGGTAGACGCGCTGTTACAAGTGTTGGCCATTCACGGTGCGCATTGGTTCTAAAAGAAATACAGAGGTACCATGGTCCTTGTTTGAGGGCGTGGCGTAAAATTTTTTCACCCCTGAGAGGCACCAATTCTACAACAACACACTGTCACATATTTTTAGTGCAATACCCTGATAGGTAACCCAGAGGCTGCTGCTGTGGACCTTTTGAGGCTGAACAGCCTAAGAGGTACCAAACCCGCCCTTTTTAACCTGTAAAAGCTATGATGAGCACCTCAGTCCCTTTCTAACAAAGCGTGGTCAGAACGGGTCAATTTTCGGTGTTTGTTCAAGCGTGAAATATTCAACTTTGTCTAGACAAACTGTCGCGTTTCATCATTTACAGTTATGGGAAATCCGTACTGTCAAGCACCGACTTTAATTTGAACGCGTGAGGAGGCTATACAAACGACATTAGACAGGATTTGGCGGAAAATAAATCTTGATTAAAAGTAGTATGTACGTGCAGAAACATAAACACGGTAAATTGACGGTATGGGACACAAACTTGCATGTTTCACACTTGAACAAATACGTAAAAGCTGAATACTGTAAACAAAAATACTCCCTGTAGCACGTTTCAAATTTCGAAACTTTTTACTTGTTTACGTTTCCAGAAAGCTTTTAAAACGGCAGCCGGCTGATATTTTGAACCCTGAAGATAATACCGGAAAACGATGTATATCAGAGTATTCAATCCTGATTGCTTACAGGGCTAATAACTGACTTACCTTTAATATCTTTATATTTATCTTATCTTATAACCGAGTGACACTGCCATCTACCAAAAAAATTGTTACGTTTTTAAAGATTCCCGTGTTCTGTTAGTTTTTCTTAAATTTTTATTAGACATTTTAATGTATTTTTCGATTTTTTTAATGATTTTATAATTTTTGTAAATATTTTTAGAGATCATTATGAATAAAGGATTATCATCGTCAAAAAAAATAAAAAATAAAAAAAAAATTTTCCGATTCCCCATTTTTTTACCAAGATTCCCCACATTTAGAGATTCCCCGTTTTAAAGATTCCCGCTTTTAAAGATTTTCCGTTTTAAAGATTTTCCGTTTTAAAGATTCCCGCTTTTTAAGATTCTCCGTTTTAAAGATTCCCACTTTTATAGATTCCTTATTTTAAAGATTCCCGCTTTTAAAGATTTCCGCTTTTGTAGATTTCCTGTTTTAAAGACTCTCGCTTTTAAAGATTCTCCATTTTAAAGATTCCCACTTTTAAAGATTTCCCCTTTTAAAGATTCCCGCTTTTAAAGATTCTCCATTTTAAAGATTCCTGCTTTTAAAGATTCCCCTTTCTAAAGATTCCCGCTTTTAAAGATTCCTCGTTTTAAAGATTTCTCATTCTCCATTCCCCACTCCCCTATTCCCCGATTCCCCGTTCCTATTTTAAAGATAGCCATGCAGGGAAGTATATTTCATCGTGAAAAAATGAGACCTTCGCTAAATCATTTGATTCTTTTGCTATTTTGAGTTCGCGGAACGACCCGTTTCGAAATACGCGGTCATTACACAAGCCATCTTTTAGAGTGGGTCTACCGCGAACGGTGTGTAGGTCTGTATTCTAGAGCGTAGAAAAGATGACACCATTCGCCAAGATATTCGACAAATCCGCCATGTTCGACATGGTGGAAAGAAGGTTGCGCCTCTATTACGTGTCTGCGGTATTCCCCATTGCACGTGACTGAGCGTTGTGGAGAAACCCGAGGGTAAACCTATAGTCGGTCGCTCGACTAATTAAGCAATCTATTCTTATGCTGCCTGTAAGCGATATTAGCGTCTTCCTCTTGATGTTTGGACTTCTGGCAAATCTTCCAATGTCGATTTTCGTTCTCAGCCGCAAGAATGCCTTCACCAACACCACTGATTACGTAATCTTTGGTTTTTTTTTTTTTTTTTCGTATTTTGGTTTTCTTCTCCTTATGGGAAATGTTGACCTTAAATTACTGTAAGCGATACGAATTTTCAGTGTTTTAGCAGTCATTGTCAGAGAAAATTTCGACAAACGACCGTGCACTAAAAATGGCGAAAGCTTAGTTTATAAACCGTAGTTTATATGATAAAAAGGGCTTTTAGGCGTATGTATAAACTTTGACTGAGTAATGCGCAATATCACCTAGTCACATGTGCATTTCCATGTAACTCAATCTGCCATGAAGTATGTCTTGATTTTAACAATTTTCATTCCAGAATGTTGAAAGCCTTATGATGAACACTGACTCTGAGATAATTGGCCATGAAGCGATAAATACTGGTGAAGTTAATTTTAGAAGCAGAAACCAGGATATCCAAGACAAGCTTAGAAAACTAAAGGTAGTGGTAGTAAACCTTTACTAGACAACAACTTCTTTATTATTTTATTAACTCGTCTTGTGATTCACGATTAATGCTGGCGAAAACTGTACACTGTGTATTTTCTCATTATTCTATTTTTAATCGCCCGTCTGAATAGCGGTTTGATCGCGCAAAATTTACAGCAATCTTCTTCCTGTTTACGTTTACATTTTAAATTCGAGTTTAAAAATTATATTCATCAAAGATGAATTGATTATTATTTTTAATTAAGGATTTAGATTCCAAAATATTCTATGGGGCATTCACTGGCAGAGGAGCGTCGCTGATATTTTGCGAGGTAAGGTGACATTGAATAGCTTGACTTGAAAAATTAGCTTGTATAGTTTATTGAGTGAAAATCGACAATGTTTGTCCCTCATTAGATTAGTGATTCACAGAGAGTCTTAACAGCACATCCATGTGCGAGTAATTTTCCACAAGGGCTTGACTTCATTCAAAGGACTTGCGAATAAAAAAGATCTAGATTTCTGCTTTTATGCCTGGTTGAGTCGATGTTTCGTTCATCGTTTCCAGTTAGAGACCGAATATTTTCTTTAAAGGGTGGGGCTACTAGGGAAGGACATAGGACCGACCCCTTTCCAGGAAGATGTATGAGTATTTTCTTTGAATGCATGATGCTGATGCTCGTTAATTTAGTAATTCTAACCATAGGTATTCAAAATGGGTTTGTTTGGACCAGACTTTGTTTGGATCTTGCATCCGAATGCTGGAAACGTCGATCAATGGGCTCTGTACGCCGATGTTGAAAGATTAAAGAACCGGTCTGGCCTTTGTATTAAAGAACAATACCAACGAGTGGCAGAGAGAATTTTCATACTCGACGAAAACATCATCTATCGCAGTGATGAGAATACAACTACTGCCTCAGGTTTGGTAAGAGTCAGTAATATTTCGTGACGATGGACCATTACCAGAGTACTTTAAATTAAAGTGGCTTCATTGGTGAAAATTGCTTTGTTTGGTGCATTGAATGGATAATAGATTTCACTTTTTATCCACTTATTCATGGACGATGGACACACTTATTTCAAATAGTAATTCCCACATTGATTAATCGATTGTTTAAATTATTGATTGGTTGATTTATCGACAGACTGACTGATGATTGACTCTTTTTCATTCATTCGTTCATCCCTTACATCGACACGCTCATTCGTTCAATCGAACATAGCCAATCAGTCAGTCACTCAGGCTGCCAGTCAGTTGGCAATTATCTATTCTATCACACTTCTGTTTCCTTTTATCCTTTCAGTATCTCGTGCATATCATATTGATCGTTTGAATACTAGATCAGTTATTCATTTTCAAATATTTGTTTATGCGTTTATTGACGTATTTATGTCTGTCTAAAGTGAGCATCATTTCACTCAAAACTTTATTTTCTTTCCTTTTGTAGACTTTAAGACAAATATTCAATACTCCAGATGTGGGAGCCTTAAGCAAATCACAGAAAATCAGAATGACCATTGCGTTTGATACAATGTGGGGCGTTATGCTGGCTTTGAAAGAAAGCAGCAAGGAACTGCCTCTGAAACAGAATGTGGACAATTTCTTGGGAAATCGAACAATAACGAAAACCATAAAACTCAAATTACGTAATGTCAGCTTTGAAGGACTCACGGTAATTTGCAGTACTTTACTTCTGCATGATCTTAACAATGTGTTAAAATGTGAAATATGATGGGAACGATGACGGTTACCTTTCACGAGAGGATGTTACTTCACGGACTAGTGAAAAATTATTGAAAGTCACTTTAATAAATATTTTTAGGCTGTTAGGCATGCTTCGCAATTGCGAGCAAGCTGAGCTAATTTGCATCCTCGCCCTTTAAACGAATGAAGAAAGAATACGCTGTGAGCTCTGTTACTTTTTCTTTCTCGCATAGGGAGCTGTTTCATTTACTAAGAATGGGGAAACAAGTGGAATCTTAATTATAAGGCAATATCAAGGTAAGAGTTCGCGCCAAAGAGCAAGAAAAACTGGGAAATCAGGCCAAATGAAAGAGTATAAAATGATATTCTTACGTTTTCGGAAAGTATGTTGTTTGATACCCTCAACGAAACATAAATAGCAGCAGATTTCAAGGTCTGATTTGTTTAAAGGTGGTATCTGTTTTAAGATTGGTGAAATGAGCTACTTCTCATTATAATGTTGTGAATACCGTAATAGAAAATTTTCCCTCGATGTATGCAATGGAATGCACTTGCAATACACTTGCAATGCTCTTGCAATGAACTTGCAATGTTCTTGCAATGCATTTGTGACGCACTTGGAATGCTCTTTCAATGCACTTGTAATGCACTTGCAATGCATTTGTAATGTTTTATAAAAAAGAGACGAGTCTGTAAACATGTACGAAGGAAAAAATAGAGGCAAGAGAGACATTTGGTAGTGCACCTCGGGAAATTGTTGTTTAGTTATTTCTACCGTGTCATAAAATACAAAGACTAACATTGTTGACGTAATTTGTGCATAGACTTCATTTTTAATTCCTCTGAACTACGTCCTTCTTGTCTACGATCCTGACCACACTTATAAAAATATATATATTACTCATTTCGACAGCCGATAGAAGGGCGCTGGTTCCCATTGGTGAGTACCACATAATACAAGATAAATTCGTGGTATATGATGAAGTCAAAGACTCTTTGTGGAAAGGTAACGTTGAGTAGTAATTAAGCATTTACTTACTACCATTCGTGAAAGAAAACAAACAGAAAACGTTTTTTAGTATCAATTCATCACCGATAAGGTAGAAATTAAAACGAAAAAAAGATACTTATTGAATGTACACAGGAGAAGTATGCCCAAAAGACAAAAGACATTTAAATGATATTCAGTTGTTTTCAAATGAGTTAAAATTCAACGACGGACGCCGCCATTTTGAATCTTATCTTGGCAACCACCTTTATGATGGGACAAAATGAATTCTTGCTTTCCTTTTGTCTCTCGGTGTTTTGTTTGAATAAATTTACGTGAACAGAAACAGTTTGACAGTGGCTATGAGCCGGTAAACACGGAAAATGAAACATGAAAGTGTGAGATATCGTTGTTACAGACCTGAACTCTCGTTATATCTTTGGTTATGGCAACCCAAACTCCTTATATTTGGTATAATTTCGGAATGTCTGTCCAGTTTACTTCCTACATCGAGTTTATGCTGGGGATTTTGTACGACCGAGGTTGTCTCAAAAGAAAGTTGGAAACTTATTTTGTCATTTCTCTTCTGAGTAACTCTGCTTATTACTGTCAACGGAGAAAGGTATGGCCACGCTTGTATGGTTGCTATTTTTGAGCTTGCTTGATGCGGAAATAGCGCAGCGGTCAAGCAATGTTTATACGTCATTTCCTATTATTATGATGTGCAACTTAAGCGCCAAGGATGGAACTTCATCTCGGAAGCGATTGTGAGATCGAATCCAAGTGGAAGCAATTTATCTTGTTTCATTTGTTTATCTATCTAAGCATATGCTTTTTTATTTCGTTGACAAAGTAACCATTTATTGTATAAAAGTCTGCACTAGAGAAAGCAATAACAGAAGTGTAGAGTGTTTGCTTCTCTTTTTCCTACCTCTTTGAAAAATAATAATGAAAAAGATAAGGAGTTCTCGTTTCAGAACACAAATCACATTTCTTGAGTATTATGTTTTGTGGTGGTCGAGTGTTTAATTTCGGTATCAAACGGAATTTATACACGGGGCCTTTGAATTCTGAAATGTAAGATATTTTCTTAACAAGCGCTCATTTGCGCTTTTCTTTATGACGTTATCCTATCACACTAATTTCAGATAATCATCAACCTATGGATCACTCACAGAGGGAACTAGAGTTCATGAAGATTCAAGTGCCATTGATAGCAGCTATGTGGGGGTTTGCAGCTATTGGAATAGCCTGTTCATCAGGTTTTTTGTGTTTCAACATAAGAAACCGTAAAAAGAGGTAAGACACGGACGGAGGTTAATATTTTTCGTTTGCCACTCATGCATTTCAAACTTTGTTTGTTTAGATGTATGATCAAATAAAAGGCGACGAGATGGGATCATATTTTGGCATGGTCATTGATGGAAGTTTTAAAAAGTGTTAGCCATTTGGATGGAAGTATGGAAATTCAAACTTTCCCATTCAGCTGAACCTGGCCTGAGGCTTGAATTGGCATGTTACCCTCCGACCTGTAAATAAGTTTTTATTGATAGTCCAACTTGAGATCTGAAACTCGCCAGAGCGGCTTAGAAATGGCTTTAATAGCGACAAAAATAGGTCAAGTAAGTCAGTTTTTGACGCGTAGTTGTAGAACACAACGCTTTAATCCAGATCATCTCACGCTTGTGCACAACTTACAAATACAGACATTTCCACCATTTATGACATTTGTGTTGCCTCGAATTGATCTACGCCTACGGTAAAAACTGAACAAAGAAAACCTAAATTAACAACACGTTGGGTTGAAAGGAAATTGTAAACCTCATACTTACATCTTCTGTGCGATAAACGGTGGGGAAAGTACCAAACTGCAACAAACGTACATAGCATTCACAGTCCCCGACACGAAACTACGAAACTACTCTTAGACAAAACCATATGCTACTAAGCCACGTGACCTAATAAATATCAGTTCGCATTTCGTTCATTCGGCCGCTAGTCGGCCCCGACACTGTGTTCAAGTAGTGTCGGTGTGAAGCTCGAACACTTTTGTACGAAACAAATTACCTTCAGGAAGAAATTATTTTCGTTGTTGTTCACTAACTCGTCACGCGATGGTTTCATTTTGTCTAGTGTTATCAAGATATCCTCACCAAACCTCAACAGCATCATCGTTATGGGTTGCATGTTGTGTTACGCCGCAGTGATTTTGATTGGACTCGATGCGAGGTTCCTGTACTTGGAGGAATACACCTTCGTTTGTAATGTACGTCTGGGCAGTGTTGCTGACTGTGTGTGTCAAACAACCTTTAAAAACTAAAAATGTTACAAAAATTTTTATGTTTCACGAAAAAAGCCCATTTCAGTTTCCTTTCGCTTGACAAATTATGATTTCGGATTCCCAGTAGCGGATTAACGGAGGTGGGTATGGGTGGGATCCAAACCTTTACCTTACAGATCCTTGGGTTTTTGACAACTTTTCCAACGCCAGAATTCTTGTAACGACAGGATCCTGCATTACTACTCAACAGGCGAATTTATTTTCTTTATTCATTTCATGACCCATTAGTGAGAAACACACGAACCTAAGTTCCAGGTTTCATGGAGGTGGTACCCTAAAATGGTCCGCCGCTGCTTCTTCATGCGAAAAAGAAGCATTGACCAGCCTTTAAATAAACTGGCGCTCGTCTCTCTTTTCTGGAAAAAGGCGACATAATGACTTGTGATGTGTCACCGAGTGAAGGAGGGAGGGAGCTGCCCTTGAACAATAATCTCTCGTAATGGTTGTATCTGCTGTTACAGCCAGGAGATCACCATTAAAGATAACAAAAAAATTTGATCTTCGATGGCAGGCCCGAAGTGCAGTGTTGTGCATTGGATACTCTCTCTCATTTGGCGCAATGTTCAGCAAAACCTGGAGAGTTCACAAAATATTCACGGCAGGGTTAAGTCGTGACAAAATGGTGAGAAATCATACCTTTTTCACTCTTTATTTTTAATTTAAGTACTTGGCGCGGAATTCATTAGAGTGAAATGATTTCAAACGTTTAAACAAGTCCTACATCTACCGCTCTTCTAACACCACCTGGGTAATAGCTAACCTGTAGATTCAAACTTTAAAGTATATCATCACGTTCTTCATTTCAGGCAATCAAGGATAGCCATCTGCTAGTTACTATAGCAGCATTGCTGATGATCGATGTGGTGTTTTTGTCCTCCTGGATTTTAACTGATCCGCTCCAAGCTAAAATACTAGCGTTTGAAGAAAGGGTGAGAGATCTCATTTTTAAAACGTGCATTTAAAAAATCGACCGAGAAATATGGAAAATTTTAATTTTAACCATGGAATGAGGAAAAATGTTATTCGTTTTTGTTAAGAGTGAAGGGCAGATTTGCCCTCCGATGCTCTATCCAATGTTTGCGAGGCCATATTTGTGTATAGCATAGCTTTGTACTCGAGCTCTCCGTAACTCAGTAGTAGAGCGTCGAAGGACAATTCCAAAGGCTTTGCGTTTGTTTCTCTTTTTTCAAGATCACTTCCTAACAGTGGCCGTCTTGCATAACAGCCAAAACTTTTACGTATTTATTGAAATGAAGACTGTCTTCATTGGCACCACTCTACAATGAATACTTAATTCTATGCAAGGTGGTCTTTTCAGAATATTTCGATTGCATAGGGATAATTTTCTACATCTGAGTCGGGACGTACCGGTTGCACAAATGGATGGTGGCGATTTGATTCATTGGGAAACTATTTTAGTTAATTTTCTAAATCAGTTTCTTTATTTGATTATTTATTCAGGCCAGCCAGGAAAACCACGTTGTTACTATCCCAGCGTTGTATCAATGTACTTGCAGATACAAGACGTATTTCCTTGCGGTCGTGTTTATCTACAAAGGCTTGTTATTGTTCTTCGGTATTTTCCTTGCCTGGGAGACACGCAATGTTTCTATTCCTGCTCTGAACGACTCCAAGTACATCGGGATGTCAGTTTATAACGTGTTCGTTTTGTCCATTATTGGTGCGTCTGTGTCTCTGTTTTTTGAAGGATCTGTGCACCACGAGGCTCCATATGCCATTTTATCAATGTGCCTTATCGTGAGTACATCTGTCACTTTGCTTCTGGTGTTTGTGCCCAAGGTAAGAATCTTGAACGTTCCAAATTAAACCCTACCATGAACACCCTTGACTATAAGGATTCTGGGATTGGCTTGATTTTGACCATGTTAGATATATCAAAGCGTCGACATATAGCAAATGCAATTGGTAAACTATTCAGTTGAAATGGATCTTTATACCCTCCTGCCTGTCGCCTAATGTAAAATAAAAAATGCCATTTCCAAAACCTCCCCGCAATGTTTCCTAGGTTTATTCCGGTATGGTCCTTTCGAAACGGAATTTCATTTTGCTTTTAAGGCCACTGGAAATTTTTATTTAGTTTTTAATGAAATATAAGGTTTGATAGGAGAGGCAACTCCAGGCAAGAAATCTATGCAATGGTTGATGAGAAACCCAGCACCATTAAGATTTTTATTGTTTCATAGTGGAGTCGAGGAATATGTCTCAAAGACCGATAACTGTATTTATGTAACATGAGAAACATTATGTTCATCGGACCCAGAAGTTCACATCGTTTGTTTCAGATTTACCAGTTCCATGCCAAGGTAAAGGGAGCGACCCAAAACATCCGTGTCAGTGAATTGATGGAGGGGCAGATTTTGCAGTCTATTTGTAGAGCAACACAAACAGACCTCGGCGTATCAGAACTTAAAGGTAAAAAAGTATTACAAGTCCGTACTTGCCTTGTGCCTTATTTTTCAACACTGCTCAAGAACATTACGCAAGATTCGTTGAAATTGCTCTCAGGATGCCTTCGTTAGACTTTTTCTACGAACAACTGAAAGACGCTTCGCCTTTCTACCCCTTTTCCTAAACGTGTGTATGACGATTTACCCTATCATTTGTAAATAGCTTAATTCTGCAAAAAACTGTTTTGCTACTTTCAAAAAGAAGTGCGCATGGAATTTTTCTTCCATGGGCTCTTGCTCCTAGTCTCATTTTAGTGGGCATGTTAAGATCTCTCTCTACTGTTACTTTCCCCTTTCAAACAGTATGTTTTGACAATGCACCTCACTTGACTTCAATAAAACGAAATAATTAGGTATGTCATGGTCAAGAAGGTACCAAGTGAACACTCAGCCTTCACAGAAAGAAAAACACGAAACCGGGAGAAAAAGTGTGATTTTTTAATTGTATTTTTTTATTGACGCTTGTCAATATTCCTCCTTGTGTTTAACTCCTTATTAGCTGAAGCAGATGAAGCCTTTTCCTCGTCAGACGAAAGACCTCAAGAAGCGTCGGACGAAAAAATGGCTGTAGCATTCAACCTGTAAAGTTGATATCAGAAAGGTCAACGGGCCAAAAGGATAAGGCTGCAAAGACTCCTGGGCCAGTCACAAGTTAGCTCTGAATTTAAAAGGGCAAAAACTTTCATTCCACGTGGAAGCCTTTCCTCTTTTTTCCCATAATTTCGACTATAAACCCTTCTTAGTTTATAATTATGACTTATTGTAACCTAAGGCTAAACTTTCGGATTTCAAAGACCGCGTTATTGATATCCTTTATTCTCTCTCTGATTTTCATTAGGTTTTGTAAATTTAGGATAGTTGACTGCATAGTAAAGTTATCGCTAAGTTTATTGTCCTGAAATTTGTCGAGACACCAGTAGAAAGGGGACAAAGTAAAACCTGATGCCAAGCTTACAGCTATGTATTGTAGAGTGAATCTGACTATTGGGAGCAAATCGTAAAGCGGGGTATAGTTTATTTATTTCTACCACCTCAACTGTAATAGAATTCTGAGATTGCTTTCGAGCAGGCTAATATGAAGTCATGTGTTCTGAAGTCAGGTGTTCTTTTTCAAGTGAAAATGCGCTACAATAAAGTGATGAATAAAAAATTATCCTATGCACAGAACTGTGATTATTATATTTGGTTTTAAGACCTTCAGGTAGTTGCGCTGATAATATTCTGTTTCCTTCATTGTTTAAGACCCCTATTCTGAGATAAATCAAGTCTCGAGTTAACCTAAATGTGGATTTTGTCATGGAGAAATGAAAACTTAGTTCAATTCAAAATCCCCTGGATTAGCTTTAGCCACCTTCTTGAACTATAGTAGTCCCAGAATGTTCTCGTAAGCAGCTCCATCCAGGATTTGCGAAATTATAGCTCAGTCAATAACTAACTTGAATACCGCTCCTGGCGCACATTTCTAGAGCTTTGCGTAATACGCAAATGTTGGTTCATAAACATTTTTCTCTGGACTTACTAAAAAAACACAGGAATTAAAGAGATTAAGGCACCGTCAATGTGAATCTATTGAGGATAACTTTTGTTTTCAAATACACTATTTACCAAAGAATGCAGACAAGAAGAAACGTCGTGGATAGATTCAATAAGTGATGAACAAAATGAAAATTGGCTGTGATTATATGAAAGTCATATATTTTAACTGCGGTAAAGACGTGAATAGGAAAGCGATCTTCGCAGTTATGAACACTTCTTAAGCAGTAGTGAAAAGAAGACCTGAAAAAAAAAATCAGCCCTGTACGGTACGGGATTTGAACCTATGACCTCTGCGATGTAGTGTTCTACCAACCGAGCCAACAAACCAACTGGGAGCTAGCCATTGTGTTGGTTCGAAATAAACCCGTGGAGTGGTGAATAAACGGCTTTGAATATATTAAAGTCATATATTTGAACTGCAAATAAAGTGCGGATAAACTGTTATAACTGTGAAGATCGCTTTCGTATTCACGTCTTTATCTGCAGTTCAAATATATGACTTTCGTATATTCACAGCCGTTGTGAATATGTTAGCATGTTTATCTTACTTCAGATACACTGATACACAAATGATACACTGTGAACTCGAATTTAGATAAGCTATGTTAAGTGTACGTGACTTAAATGTTCACTTAGACAATTTCGCCTCCATTCTCCGTCTCTTTCCCTTCGTCTCTGTAATTTTTTTCCTTAGATCCCTCCAGTTGTAAGCCCTCTACATATGCAGCATTATGGGACCTATTTTATATATATTATACATATCTCGACCATATCATGTGATAGCTAACCATCTTCCCTCTGCTCATGGATATGCCGATGATACACAACTTTATCTGTCGTTTGAACCTAATGGCAGATCTTCGCAAGACCACGCCATAGCTCCTGTAGAGGCCTGCATCTCAGATGTCCGTGCATAGTTGATTTGTTACCGTCTGTTAATCAACGATTCGAAAACTGAGTTCTTAGTTGGTGGTTCCCGCCATCAATTATCAAAAATCGCAATTGATTCCATCACCGTCGGTGATTCTACCATCCAGCCTCTCGACAGTGTTCAAAACTAGGGTTCCTGGTTTGACTCCAATATGTCTATGTACATTCACATTGGTAAGATCTGCAAGGCTTTTCATGGCTTGTATAAAATTCGCCAAATTAGGAAATTCCTTAGTCCTGAGTCCACGAAGACTCTTGTTCACGCATATGTGACTTCACATTTGGACTACTGTAACTCCCTTCTCTTTCGCGTCCCCAAGTACCAGACAGATCGTCTTCAGAAGGTGTTTAAAGCCGCTGCTCGATTAATCTTTAGGATTCCAAAGTTTGATCACATTTCGTCCGCCTTATCTCATCTTCACTGGCTTCCTGTGACTTATCGCGTTCATTTTAAGTTGTTACTTTTAGTTTATAAATCTCTCAACAATCAAGGCCCACAATACCTTCAACAATATCTGCAGCCACACTCCATTTCTAGTCATCACCCACGTTCCTGTGACCAGGGCCTTCTTAAGATCCTAAGAACTAATTTTAAGACCTTCGGTGATTACGCCTTTGCCCGTTCCGGGCCACTTCTGTGGAACAAACTGCCGCTTGAAATTCGAAACAGTCAGAGTGTAGCCATTTTTAAGTCCAAGCTTAAGACACATCTGTTCAATCTGGCTTATAACTTGTTTTAACATTTTTAATAGTTTTAGCATTTTAATATTGTTCATATTTTATCGTTTAATCGTTTTAATATTTTTATAGAATCTTTTGTTAAGCGCTTTAGAATATTTTCATAATTTTAGCGCTTTAGAAATGTAAATTATTGTGATTATTATTATAATTTTTCTCACAATACTCTGTTCTCCTGTACCCTCTCCTTAAGAAATAGCAATAATAATAATAATAAAATTAATAAGTAAATTTTTACATTTCTCAATATCAGCCTATAATTCTTTATTGCTATATTAGCCTGGATAAATCTTACCTATTCAATCAAAGTCAACGGATTTTTAAATACATTTTTTTCCTTAGCAAACATGTTAGTATTGTATTTACATTTAAAATTTTAATGTTATCGACATACGTAAAAAATAGAGAATTATTTTGATAGGTAAATAATAATTATAATTATAATAATTAAAATTTCACAAGCTCGCTAGCGGCCGGACAACAAGGGGTGGTCGCTAAGCCAAGTGTTGCTTATAGCATATGGCTGCGACACCGTTAGCAATAATGTGTGACTGTTTTCTTTAGCAGTGTTGTTTCTGAAGCAACAGTTTGCTTAAAATATTCCAACAGTTAGGAAGACTGTCCACCTAGTGACTGTCTGGTATGAGCTCCGATGAAATTCCTGCTACAAACTCGATATCTTCGCTTTCAAATTTGGTCGATACTCCGAACAATTCTGATGTCGATGGATTGGATCCTTTAGCGCTCGGGGCATCTGAAGAAGTCAACACTTCCACAAATGTTGAAACTATACAACCTGAAGCTTTAGGCCTGCAGAAGAAAACTCCTCTGAATTCTCCTTTCGTGTACAACGAAACCCCTAAAACGGCGACCGTAGAGAATTTGAATGGAGAACGTCACTTGAAAGATACAGAAAGAAACGATTATGCCAACTGCGATAGGGCCAATGGCAACGAAAATGGAACAAGCCCTAATGTGACTGATACAATTATTTCGACCACTGTAGTTTCCGAAGGGATTTCGCTCGACTCAGCTCGCGGAATTGTTGTCTTGGAACAAGTTGCTTTGGAACAAATGAATGAGTTAATCGCCGGCGCATCTCGGATACAAGATGACAGCTCTACAAACAGTGAAACGTTCGAAGATTCTCGCTTTAGAACTCATTTTCGAAGTGATAGTCAGAATTCGGACGGTTCTTCGACAGAATTAGGCATCACCAGCAAAAGCACCCAACAAAAGTCATTAGATTCATCCGCCGACCCATCCTTCTCAGTAGAGTTCGACATGAGCAGATTTGAAGACCTCGATACTAAAAAAATTGCCGAAGCACTCACAAATGAACTAAAAAAGTACTCTATACCCCAAGCTGTTTTTGCACGCAAGGTTTTGAATCGCTCTCAAGGGACTTTGAGTGATGTTTTAAGAAAACCGAAACCTTGGAGCGAATTGCGAGGAGGCAGAGAAATATTCCGAAAAATGAAAGAATGGCTCGATTTACCAGAGGTGAAAAGAATTCCACAACTCAGGGCAGAAGGTAAGAAAGACACTGTGAGCGTTGGAACGATGTTCAGGGATGTAAAAGGGAAACTGAATACTCTATCAGAAGATAAATGTAGAGAAATTCATCCTCCAATGGCATACGGTTTTCCCTACTTCCGTGTTTTTGTGAAACGCTTTGTAAAGTAAATGTATCAATGCAAACTTATTGTTGAAACAGAAAGGGGCCTGTTAACTAATTTACATTATATTGGCAGAATGAATTTTGAGTGAAAAAATTCTTGATGCTTAGCATGACACAAAGTTCATGACTCTTGACATGTGTTTGAGGGCTTCTGCCCTCCAAATGACCAGCAGCCCTACACTTTTGATAAATAAATGTGACCACTCGAAGGAACCCCAACCAATTCAAGGGTGATTGGAAGTGCTATGGATTCTTTACTCTAAGCTCAGTGTAAACCAAGGAGTAGATTTAAGATTTAGAGCACTTTTTAACTGTTCATCAAAAGTGATCTTGAATGAATTGCTTAGCTTGTTTTGCTTTACTTTGCCCTGTGATTGGTCTAGAAAACTTCCACAACCATCTCAACCAACCAAATGCAAAACTAAACCCAATATCAACTTGGTCGCATTTCTGTGAGTCCTCATTGGTTAATTAACCCTTTAACTCCCATGATCTAATTGATAATTCTACCTTTAGCTGCAACGCATTTCCTTGTAAATAAGTTATGAAAATTTGGTGTTTGATAAAGATAACAACTTCTGCCTGATAAGTTTTGGTATTCTCACCACCTTTTGTTGGATAACATTTGGATATGATAGGGAGAAATTACATGTTAATCACCCCTGGGAGGGAAAGACTTAAGGATGATGTTAACCTTTGTTCTATTTGGTACTTTTTGGTTTTGATAGTCAATTAAAGGTCCTCCATAAAGGTATCCAGGATTGCTTGGTGCCCAGTAATTGAGATGCATTTAGGATTGTTTTGATTGGCTGGGTTAAAGTAATTTCTCAAATATACTAGAAGTGAAGGACTGTTGGTCATGAAGTGTTTTACATACCTAGACCAGTAGTTGCCCCAAACACACTTCAAATGTCACCAGCTGTGCTTTGCACTATGAGCCCACCACAAGCATTACAGTAGATCTTTGATCTAGAGGGGTATTCAGGATTGCTTAGCACTTGGTGTATGTAATTGACTTATGAAAGAAAGGGGCAAGTTTCTAAAGAAACCGTGGTGCTGTGTTGGTGGGAGAGTACATCAGGGTAATTTAGTATTGTCAACTGAGTTGATAATGTAAATTGCCACCGTAAAGAGTTTTGAAGCTGATGTTTTTAGTGTTAGCCCTCAGATAAAGGGCTAG